GGACTGTCGCTAGAACGCAAGGTGCTCTTATACTAGAAACCACGATGACAATGATGAGTATGAGACAGGCGTCGCCTATCGTGGCAAGGCTACCATATCATTGAGCATAGGAGCAATGGGAATCTCCATTATTGGTACATACGCGCTCTTATAACCATACTGAGACACGTCGTGCAATGCGACTGAAACAATGATGACCGAGCTGACGTCGAGGTGGAGTTTTTCGACCTGCTAGCGCGGCGGGAGGAAGCGACACAAACTTGGCGTTACAATGCCGCGGGCCACGTGAGTTTATTTTTAGCTCCAAGAACAAATGACGCATGAGAGTGCATTTTCTCACGTGTGAGGCGATTTTCGTTGAGTAATTTGAATGGCATGCGTATTTTAGCTCAGCGTGTGGCGGCGATTTTTCGTTGAGTAAATTTGACTTCATGCGATCGCATACTAGATTTTAGTTGGGTGACGCCAAAGAGACATCTTGTGTCACCGCCGAGGTTCAGTTGACGCGTGATTAGCGCGGTTACGGGAGACATACATGAGTTTTGCTAACTGAGTTACGGCGCATGCCGCGATTGTGCCACCCGCACAGTTGCCAGAGACAGACGAACAAACATTTGTTCCGGCACGAACATTTGTTCGGGATAATATGTTCGTCAATGTGGGGCGCGACCGGCTCTGCGCGAATTGGCAGGCAATGACCTACGTACGTTTACATGTACTTACAGTGAGTTTACATGTACCTTACAGTGAGTTTACATCTACCTTACAGTGAGTTTACATGTACTTACAGTGAGTTTACATGTACCTTACAGTGAGTTTACATGTACCTTACAGTGAGTTTACATCTACCTTACTGTGAGTTTACATCTACCTTACAGTGAGTTTACATGTACCTTACAGTGAGTTTACATGTACCTACAGTGAGTTGTCAGGGAGGGAGGAGGGGAGGGTAAGAGGAGGTACATGCACCGATAATCCAATACTTTATTATGATACTGTAGTACGATACTTTCCTATGATGCTATAGTATTATACTTACTATAATACTTTACTATGGTACTTTATTATAATTATTTACTCGAATGCTGCAAATTTTGCTATAGTACTTTACTATATATATTACCATACGCTCCTTTAACACTTTACAGACTTAAAACTTAAATTTAGATTTAAAAACTTAACTTAATTACTAAACTTTAAAAAACACAATACTTTAATTCAATGTTATGATATAGTACCGTGTGGTAATACTGTATGCTACAGCAGTCGTTGCACTATTCCCTGAGATCTCGTAAATCGCCTAGTTCACTTCACTGCCTACTATCTGCTACTTCTTGCTGAGCTATCTCCGTTGAGTGTTGCGTTTATCGTCCCAAGTGTTGTTGCGAGTGGCGCTGCGTGTCTGCCCACAGGCACTTGGAACATCTCGATAAAAAAATAATAATGGTAAATAAACACGAAATGTAATTACTACCAAAGTCTTAATGTTTCTCTACTCTATTTCACCTATAATCACCTGTATGCCGGTCAAATGCTCATCTGCAACACACAAGTACACCGCACGCTAGCTGCTGCACACTGACGCTGAGAGGGTCTATGTCTCCCTTGGTACTGCCGGAACGTACTCTGGGTACGGTCTGGTATACCGGAACGTACCCTGGTAACTATCTACCTCGCCTACCGTACCTCGCCTACTCCCTAACCCTAACCCTAACCCTCACCCTAACCCTAACCCTAACCCTAACCATATCAGATAGTTACCAGGGTACGTTTCGGTATACCGGACCGTACCCAGGGTACGTTCCGGCAGTACCCAGGGGGACATAGACCCTATGAGCCACACGCACACATAAATATATAGAACTATATATTTATGTGTCAGTGTGCAGCAGCTAGCGTGCGGCGGCCAGCGTGTGACAGTATGTTGCAGGTGAGCATTTGGACGGCAGTTACAGGAAATTGTCGGCAATAATAGGTGAAAGAGAGTAGAGAAACATTAATACTTTGGTAGTAAATAGATTTTGTATTTATTTAGCATTGTATTTTATTGAAACGCTCCAAGTGCCTGTGTGTCTGCCAGCGCCTAATTGCCACTCTGTGCGAGTTGCGTGACCTTGAGGGGGTCATACACTCTGTGGTAATGGCGTGTGAAGGTGGAACGTCGTGCACGCGTAGATGTACGCATAGGCTGTTGTGCATTTTTTTTTAACATGCCTGTGTTTTTTGTGGCGCGTGACCCGCGTGTAGGTGCGTGGATAGCGAATGTTCTGAATGGAATTTTTTAACACGTTCTCTTGTTGTTTTGCAGGGATCTACTGTGCAAGGCCGAATCGCCGGTGGTGTTCTGCCACAATGACGTGCAGGAAGGTAAAACATTCACACAGGCCTGACTCTCGCTCGCTCACTGTCACGTAGCGTTCGCTCTGTCCACACACATGATGGTGATATTAAGTCGTGGCACTAGCTGTCACCGACGCTCGGTGTAGACGCTAGTGTAAACGAGGCTCGACGTGTGTGTGTGTGTGTGTGTGTGTGTGTGTGTGTGT